ACTGAGCTCATCAGTGCCCTGCAGCCACAGCCCTGCCAGGCTGATGGGGCTTCTGCCAGGTGTCAACACAGTCCTGGCTCCTCTGCCCCAAGGGCCACTTACACAGCGCTGCTGTGAGCTCTGCAGATCTGCAAGGATCTTTTAAAAAAAATTATTAAAAACTCCTTTCATGATTGCTTTTAAAACTCCTAATTTAAGTTTGGGAGCTTCCACATTCAGTTCAATTTTGAAGCATGAAATTAATTTTCCATAATTTTAAGTTATCTTCAGCCATATTTTGTTGTAGATGAGTGAGAGAAAAGAGTAAAAGCATCAGGCCTTATTTATAAGGAGAAGACATCTGAGAATTAAGGAGTTAATTGTATTCTGACATGAATACCACTCTCATTACTTCACTGTCCAATATGGGTAAACAGAAAGAATCAGAAATATGTTTAAAAGTATTTCAAGGGCACTATTAATTTTGATAGATTTTGTATGTACACCAATACATCCAGGGATATTGATCTGGTCCTTGGATATATGTCCTGAGGTACGCAGTATAGGTCCTGCTAATTAGAAACTCTTAAATTTTCACTAAATTAGTAGATTTCAAAACATGAAATGTTTTCAGGCTCAGTAGTTTCCTCAAAACTCTTTATGGGGAATAGAATCAGCTATACTAATTCAATTTTCAAAGATGAAACCAATTAGGGAATTTTGTTTCTTGCTAAATGTACAGATCCTTTTCATAGACAGGTTTCATGGAACTCTATGCACTTACATATGTATTTTTATCCACAAGAATGCATACCAAGATAGCAAACCAAGAGAAATCCAAATGCATGCAAAAATGAAAGAAAAAATAAGCAAAAAGGTTTCTCAAAGTTTCACATCCCGGTTAAACAAGTAACTGACTTGGCAGGTCTTGTCTTTGTTCTGTCCCTGCAGCACAGTCTAGGAAAGAGCACTCCCGGTGGGAGCTGTTAGTCTTGAATAATAAAACAGATAACATGCAGAGAAGGCTGAAAAGAGCCATTGCAGAGGTTAAGGGAGAAACACTAATTTTGGAAAGGAATCCCAAGTGGTGGATGTAAAATTTGCCCAAATAAAAGGGAACACATGTTCTTGTGGCAGAACAGCTCAGCAACCAAGAAAATAACCAGGCATGAAAAGCTTTATTTTCCAATTAGATCAGTTTAGGGAGTTTGATATATGCACTGTGTTTCTCTACCATGTCTTGTCTGCATTCTGGTCTCTCTGCAGTCGAATAGCTCCAGGTTCAAGCCTGGACTTCTCTGTCAAAGAATTTATGGGGCCAGAGATGCCAGAAAGATCCCCCACAAAGTTTTCTACTTACAATTTAGTCAAAGACCTTTCTCATTTTCACAAGTGTTTCTGCTCATAAGTCAGCTGGAAACCCAAAAGAGACCAGGACAAGTTTTACAGAGAAGATCAGCTCCCATATCTCTGCTGCAATATTATTCTCTGAGAGCTGTTCCCTAGAAAATATGTTGCTCTCACATCTCCAGCCAACATCTGGCCTGAGAACCCCTGCTATATAGATATGAACACAGTCCCAGTCTTAAAGCATTGCTGAACTTCCCACTGAGGAGGAGGAAAATGTAAGAAAAGGGAGGGATGTAACACTGCCTTCAACTCCACCAGTACAGATTTACGACCCTGCTGAAAAGGTGCTCCAAGATCTGCTCCAAGATAGCTGTTGATTCCCTAGAAGTAGCTTTTAAATTCCACCACTCCCACATTGAAAAGGTGTGGTGGAATTCTGCATTCTGCACACAAATAACCATGAAAATAGAAAAATATTTTATAAAGGCAAAGTATAAGTCCAGGTAACCTCCAAGACTGCCTATCTTTCCTTAAAGTTATGAGTTGCCTGGACAGAAGTGCCAAGTGTATGCATCCCTTGCCAAGAGTGTGCAACAGGGTTTAGAGCACTGGGACCCTGGAGGCCTGGTTGTCTTCCCTATCCTGCCTCTCATCTCCTCTTCTCTTTGTGAAGCCTCACCACTTTCCTGTACACGTAAAGTTTAGCAACACTAATAACACACACTTCTATTGTAAAGCATTAACATCTGCTAAAGCAATGAGAATATTCATTCATATTAATAAGAATAATCAGTGGTGCTTATTGGAAGCAAAATCGTACAGGAAGAGAACAGAAAGCATTTAGCTGGAAATAGAGCAGTTGGGAGAAGTGTCTGTGTCATGTGTTGTAAATGTGGAAAACAGAGTACAAAAGGCCCTTTTAATTCATATGAGATTCACGACCCCTCGTATACCACGTTTGGTGCTGATTTATTTGAATTAAGATGACAAGAAACCTCCTCTCACTGTTTTTTGTTGCATTTTTTAGTTTCATTTTCTTTTGTTTTTAATCAAGATCTTGCTCAAGCCCTGTGAGTAAGAATTCAGTAACACATTGTAAATCATATTTTGCAAGTTCTGTGACTTCAGATGAGATAGTAAAAGATAATGCTGTATAATTCACATGTGGCTGGTTTGTCATTCAGGCACCACATGTCAGATTCTCCCTCTACACAGCTGAATGTGTGAGCAAAAAAGCTGTAGAGACTGCAAATAATGTAATTTTAAGGTCCTATAATTAGAATGTTTTGGTTATTGCTGAAACAATTCAGAGTCTTATGAGTACAAGCCTAAGCCATTTTTTAACAATCTTTGAGTAAATTCAATTTATCAAGAATCTTTTCCAAAAGGGGAATTGAAAAAAAAGCTCAGAAAACAACAACCAACCAAAACAGAAGTAGTACACAGTGAAAACCTTTCCCCAGTAAATGGTAGACAAAATTATATTCCAAAACAAAAGTAACATCCCATCATAATAACAGGAGGTTTCTCAAAGCTTCACATACAAAATAAACGTCTGAGTAAAGCTTTTTCAACAATGTAATATTATTTTTAAGGTGTCAGGGATTGTCACTGGCTACAGTTGCTCAAACAAGGTCTAAGCAGAGTCACTGTCCTAAATCTACGCTGTAGTCTTTGGAGAGAAATAGGTGAATTGCAATCCAAAAAGCAACTTTTCTTTGTTCCTAAGAGAGTCTACAGCATAGGTGTAACTCACACCACTCATGCATCTACCATTTACCAAAATGAGGCCCCAAGTGGTCTGACAATTGACTCACATCATAATGTAAAGACTAAGTATTGTTTCACAGTTTTGTACATCCCAGTATGCAAAACAATCAGCTGCTCTCTCTTGTGCAGCAAGCAAGGCCTGGTTGCTTATTCCTGAAGATAGCCAAGCTCCTCGAGTGGCTTCATTTGCACTCCCTATCTAGTCACTCACACAACTGCATATTTACCTGGACAGCCCACTGCAGAAGGAAGAGTCATGGCACTGTTGAGGACACGTCAGCATTTCATAGAGATGCACAGTGGAAAGAAGCATGATCATTGTTTTGCTTGAAGACATCCACGCCAACAACTCCCCGAGACCTCTCCAGCTGGGTTTTGCACTGGTCCAATGTATTGCTATGTTGTCAGCTACCAGACAGCTTTGCAACATTAATTCTGGTTTTTTTGGGTCTTCAGCCCTTGAGGTTCCAGTTGTAAAGGATGCTGAAACCTTAAACAACTTGAAAAAGAGAAAATTCTTGTGTCCTAAATGATAATGGAAGAGTCTTCATAACTAGAGAAGTGGATATAGCTACAGATAAGGGTAATTTTTCATATAATTATGTACACGTTGCATTAAATATGTGTGTATATATTATGCATAAATATATATAAAATAACAGGTATTTGATAGGACGAAGGAAAAGAACAAAAGGTCTTGCATGAGTTGGTACTACTGAAGAAGAGATTATCTGAGCAGGTTTATATGAAGACATGCCTACATTTACTTCTCCAGAGCACATAGAAAGTTTGGTGCCACTATCCTTTATTGCAAACAGAGGAATGTCCAGTTGTGGATTTATTTGGAATTTTATAAACAATTTTTTTCCTTTCTAGTGTGTTTTGAGTAGAGTACTAGCACTTGGAGGTATGATTTGAAGGTCTGATTTTTATTAGAAGTGTAGATGGTTCACCATCGGCTGTCTAAGAACCAGCAAAATAAAAGTAATTTTGCAAAATGTCTGTACTAAAGATGGCTGTAAGAAAATCTGTCCATAACCATTGATGACCTCCTGCTCTTCCTTTTAAAAGGATACATCAAGTCAGTATCATTTTGTCCTGTGTCTAAGAAGCAAAGCCACAGCAGAGGAAAACATTATTACAAGTTTATTATGTCTCAAAATATAGAAATATATTCCAACGCCATATTTTAAAGAATAATATAACAATAATCTTCAGCTTCTTAGTCTCAAAATGGTACACCATTATTTAAAAATATATTACTTAATGTACCCAAAATTTAGTGTCCATCAAATTCCATTTAGAATAAAATGAGTTCAAAAAAGCATATCCACCTACCCAATTTATACAAAAAACCAGTAATTTTTTGAATACAACAGAGGAGTTTAATTTTTCTAAAATGGTAATTCAGATGCAGACCTTTTTTCCTATACATTCTTGTGCATGAACTGCAACTAAATCTAGATATGTAGGTAATGACAGTATAAAATACAGACAGGAGTGTAAAATGGAACTGTTCTATTAAGGGGAAAGAGTTCCCAAGGCTGAAATCAGAACTAATTTTTTTTAATTGAGTGTATGCATAGAAAGGATTTATGTATTACTCCAATAGCAAGATAAAATAAATTAATTTCTGCAAAAACAACAGCTGCCTATTCACATGCATACACACAGTCACACACATGCTGATTTTATCAGTCTGTAATCATCTGAGTTTTCTGAGATATGTTTTAAATAACCAGAGAAGTCAGAGTTTACATGATTAGACTGTCTAAGAAGAAACTTATCAATCCTATCCATTTTTTAAATAACTCTTTGAGAATGGTTTAAAGGAAGCATTTATAATGAAGGCAGTTAATGATAAAAGTGTATGTGATAATTAGCCATGTAGTAGAGAGAAAAACATTTCCATTTTCCCATTTTTGTAGCACTAAAACAAAGGGGTGCCCCAAGACAATAAGTGTAATTAATTCAAAATAAAACTGTGTGTAGTGGTGATGGGAATGGTAATTTGTAATTGGTTGTGTAATTCAAAGCCAAAGGATTTAACTTGAGGCCAAAATTTAGTGGGAATAAAAAGTTGTTGATATGGATTTAAGAACTATTGAAGCTGCAAGTGCTAAATAAAAGAAAAAAGTATCCCATATTGAGTCCCATTATTTAAATCAATTCCCACAATAGAAAAGCAGATGGGACTGCAAGTAGGCTGAATGTTACCCAGCATCATCTTGTGAAAGGTGTTTTTTATCTTTACCTGAAAACAGCCACCACCAGGGATAAGATTTTTGATTAAACAAGTGACAACTGCTGCACCCCCTGTGCCTTCCCTTGCACACTCCTAAAACACATCCAGAAGTGGGAGCTAAATAAAGCAAAGCCCTTCCATACCCTGTATTCTGTATACTTTGTGCATATAGTAGCTTGTGTATGCAATGGGAAGGCTTGTGTGGTTTTTTAAGATTTGATTTTGGCTTGTTTTACACTAATATAAAAATACCTGCCAGAGCAGTGTCATAGATAATAGACTGATATGATTTGAGGTAAGAATGTTGTAGTTCAATTTTTAGTGTTAACTTGGAAAATCATAGGTAGAGGCAAGAGTCTGTCTACACAGAATTTCTGAAGCCTGGAGCCTTTTGCAAACTCTGCAGGTCACAAGCCAAAAAGTAACTTACTCCTCCAGTTACACTCATCTTGTTAAAGAAAATAGTTATAACAATTATGTGCAATTTTTTTCACTTCTATTTTTTATCTGCTATTTATTTACTTAAGCACTGTTCAACATTTCACTTTTTCTAATGGAGCAGAAGTTCTAAAAGAAAAAATATGTTTAGCTGAGCAGTTTTGTTTAGTTTTTTTCTTCCTGTGCCTTTTGCTAAATAAATACCTTGCCACAGTTTTCACTGGCAAAATATGACCAAATGCATTTTAGTTCCTCTAACAATACAAAGCAGTTACAGAACTTCTGGAGTTTCTATTTTAAAAAAAATTCTGTATAAAAAGGCTTTACTTTATAATATTGAAATGGGATAAAGCAAATTTCAGTATGGTCAATTGAAAAATTAATTTGTGAACTTCTGCTGCATGGTGAGGTGACCCATTAAATAAATGGTTCTGAAATTTTGCTCATACAAAAGAAACTATATACTTTTAAATAAATAAAAGCTACTATGTACATTATACTGTACAATTAAATGAGAGACAACATGAAATGGAATAAATTTAGGCCTGCCTTTTCATCAGCAATTCTCATATCTTGACTTTATTACAATTTTGAATAAAACCCTCTGCTTTAGATTATTTTTTTTTATTTTAGTGGCAGCCACATGAGCGCACCACCATATTCCTGTATTTTTTTAAAATAACATTGGAACTGTCATCAAAGTAGAGCACGGAGATTGCGTTCAGTTTTGTTGGTGCACAGCATGGCTTTGGTACATGATCGGGGAACATCAAGTGAACCTGAAAGACAGATAAATACACAGCTCATATATCAAACAGAGAGGTGCAAGGACAATGTCAGTGCAAAACATGTCTGCAATTCAGCAAGGGCTGTGGTCACAAATTTTCCTCGGTTAGCAACTTTAAAGTACAGCTTACCTCCAGCACATTTTTCTGATTTCAGTTGCACGGGCAGGGTTATACAATAAAAGCAGATGGAGAGATAAATGAGAAGCGGCCAAGACAGAAAGTTGGTTTTCAGATGAAATTTAGAGAATTGGAGTTAGGCAGCTGCTCAAGAAAACATTTAAACATATTGTCCATACCATCTTTGCTGAGGGCAAGGCATAACATGAAGCAAAGGCTCAAGCCCCAGGTCTCACCAGAACCCCAGCATGTGCTAAAAGGCTGTCCTGTGTTGGAGGAAAAGCTATTGCAGAAAGCAAAGGTTGTGTAGGCAAAGCCTCATAATGAAACTATTTTCAGCCTATAAAATGGTAAGATGTGGGGTCTCAGACACTAGGAGTGCATTTTAAGGTCTTATCTAGGTATCTATGGATCCAATTCTACTTCCACTGAAATAAAAATCAGTTCATAAGGTGGGTGCCAGCTGGACAGAATATTTGGGGCAGGGGCTGAGGCAGAAAAATCTTTATGTTCACCAGGCTGAAATATATCAATGAAAGATTAAAGCGAAAGAAAAGAGTTTTGAAAAGTGTCCCAGAACAAACAAGATCTTGTGGAAATAAAATGGGGGAAATTCAAGTTCTTTCTACTTGAAAGAAGTTTGGATGTAATATTCTACACACGCTGAAGACTTGGAACCTGGGGAGCCAGAGAAGAGGGAGTTGTAACAGAGAGGGCAACAGATTATTAAGGCATAGATGAAAACTTCAGCAGTAATAGATTTTGTTTGTATGTTACGTCTTTGTAAATCTGTTTGAGCCATCTGTCTTGCAGTGATATAAACCCAGAGCCTTTGCCAGACAACAGAGAACAGTCTATCAGGAAACGATTTTTACATAACAGTTACCATGAGAAGGTCTTTTGAAATGAGCAATAATAAATCCTAAAGTAGCTGTTTTGTAACAGTTTAGACACACAATTAAAAACTATTTAACAAATGAATAGCAAAGCACTGGAGAAAAAAATGATTGTGCCTGACCTGGGCAGATGTTTGTCCAGCCATAAATCATGGTCCCACCAGCCCCTGCCACCTCTGATGGAAGATCCGTGGCCCCACAATAGCCCCTTGGAAGTGATGTTCACAGCCTTTTCAAGTGTTTACCCCAAATTCAGTGCAAGCCAACCTGATAATCCACTGCCTTGCATAACCAGGAAGTCAATGCTACCCCTGTGCCTGTTCTGGGGGTGATGCAGGAGACGAGAAGAAAGTTTATAGAGCTTATTAAATGCACCCTGTCTTTTATTTATATGCATCTGTATTGTCTGTTTGCCTGAGTTCAATTGCAGAGAAACAAGAGAGGGAGAGAGTGAGGTACGGGCCCATATTTCTCCTATTCTTGTTACAAAAGAAAATAAAAAAGAATCAGTTAAGTTTGGAGGGGTACCAAGGAACAATCACTTCCCAAACCAAAGAGCAGGCTTTTTCAGAATGGTGTAATCATTATGGCCAGGAGGTGACTGCATTTGGATTAGGGTGGAGCATATGAATAATTGCTTCCCAAGCCATCCCCATATGCACACCTTGTGTGAATCTGAATTTTGTATAATCTAAACCAGAAAGCATTAAACTACTGTTATCTCATCTAATTTATGTACAGCTAAAACTTAATTGGCCTCATGATTTTTTGGCTGCACTGAATGCATGTACAGTACATGCAAAGGGAGACATGCAATTCCAAAATGGCCATAAAAAGAACAAAAACTGAGTATCAAATTTAAAAAATAGGACAAACTACACACATTTCCTAACAATGGGAAAATAACCATTTTTGGAAAGGAAAAACACACAAGAGAAAGTAGCACTGAGCCAACTCTTATTTAACAGTCCATAATTGCAGGAGGGAACTCTAACCTGAGGATCTCAGTGATATTGGCAACTTTTCTGGACAATGCTTGTGTAATACTAAACTATTGCTTTGCTGACCTATTTCTTTTCTGCTCAGGACTGCAGATATGCTGTTCTTCATTGTCTTCTAAGAACATTGTTGTATTCCTTGCCAACTGGCATTTTCTGTTCCCTTTCACCTGAACTCCTTAACATGTTTCTACTTATTTTCAGCCTCTGACATTTTCCCTTCTTTTTGTAAATCTTGCTGACTGGAATTCTAGTATAAAGGAATAATGCTGCATTGGTGACTGGACTTGGAGAAGGTGAGTAAATGAAAAATTGAATGGAAGGGAAAATTTCTCAGCATATGCTGAGTTTTTTAAAATGTCCCTCTCATGTAGAAATACTTGGCAATTTTCACAAACAGAATTTGTTTTCTATCAGAAATAAATAACATTTTATTTCTGTGTGTTTGCTTGCTTGATTTTGGTTTGGGTTTTTTTTTTTTGTTTGTTTGTTTTTTGTTTTTTGGTTTTTTTTTTTTTGGTGTGGGGTTTAAATTTGAGGGGGGTGTTTGGGCCAGTATGCCAGGTACTCCACTCATTTCTCAAGGGGGAAAGGTTTTTCAGGCCCAGATTTTGATGTGAAAATACAAAAAAAAAGATCATTATCTTTGGACAGAGTCATCAGCATAATCCGATAGTCAGAATACCTTACCATTATTAGTTGAAATCAAATGGAACCTTAAATCCATGTTTCTCTAATCTCACTTGAGTGTCTTGAACGTTCCAGAAACTAACTGGGGATGACAACCCTTTTCTGTTCTCATTTCGTGCTGTGACTCCCTCCTTGTGTATTATCTCTCATTCCTCTCCTTCTTAATCTGCTAATACCAGTGCTTTTCAGAGCCACTTCTTCAGCTGGCACAGGTGAAAAATCAGTTTTTGACCACACTGACCAGACTTTGGGCTCACAGCATTGCATTTAGTCATAGTCTAAAGGTCATGATTCCTGTAGCTGAGCACTGCTGGGGTAGAGGAGGCCTAGCCAGCTGCCTCAACTAAGATCATCTTTTTGGCTGCTCCAGCTGAGGCACAGGACTAACATAAGAATTAGCAGAGGCAGAAAGCTGGCTGCAAATCCCCTTTTACATGTACCAGGCAGAGCAACAGATCCAAACACACTTATTTTTAAATTGCATTTGTAAGCCAGGCATGACTGAACACAATTTCGTACATGTAAATGCATCTGTTTGCAAAGCTTCACATTAAATTACAGTGTAAGAATCTGTGCCAACAGTTGACAACAGAGGTCCACAGAGTGGCCAAGTGTCATCATTTCTGGAAGGTATAACATGTAGATGTTAACACTGAGCTTCAATAAGCTGCAAAAACTCTTGGAAGTCAAACCAGGGGGCCCCTTTGGTTCCTGTCTACACAATTCTCCAGTAATATAACACAGTCTTCTCATGTGCTATTGCATTTGAAATGGAAGTGAAACCTACCACACAGGCCACTCCAAGCAGTTCATCCTCTCTCCAACAAAATCACTAAAGCAGGTTTTGACATGAGTTATGATTTACCGAGAAATAATAAAAATTCAGTGGTGGTAAACAGAAGAGTCAGATTCTGAGCAAAGACACAAACTGCAGCATAGGCAACTATAACACAGTCAGAGGCATACCAGAGTCTGAACAATGGCATGGTTTGTTGCGTTCATGTGGGCATTGAGGGGAAAAGAACACTCTCCATCACAGTAAAACGCAGCGTAGCCCTCCGGTGCGATAATCCAATCCTAAAACAACAACAAATAAATCCACTCATTATATTTTCTCACTCAGGGAATTTATAACTATATCAAGCTAAGACTTGCTCAATGGCAAAATGAGCTTCACATGTGAAATAAATGGGGTTTTTCAAAAAAAAAAGTACTTGCTTTGTTCATGCAAAATTGAGATGAATATTAATGAAACCTAAAAATCTGTACTGAATACCAACTAATGAGGCTATAAGGGCGAATGAAAATTAAAATATATTTGCAGAATACTTTTCCTTTCAGACTAAAAGTCTTGAGCCCTTCTTGGTGCAACAAAAGTAATTAAAATGCATTCTCTTCCTTCAGCATAGTCAATACTGTTAACTGTATTATTGCATGAGACTGAGAGTTGCTAGGGATTACCTGTTGGCTTGTCAATGAATCATACATTTTCAGTATTTCAAGCAACACAGCATGGGCAAAAGACCACAAGAGGGAAAATATTTTAAAATGTAAATGAAAGCTGTGTGTTTAGTTTGCTGAATTCCTCCTCTGCCAGGTAATGGAGGTGCTGCAGGAAGGGCAGAGAGGATCAAGTAGCTACTTGGGATTTGTATCTTTTTTTTTTTGTATCTTATTTCACCCTGTGTTTCACTGATTAAATATTGTACAGCTTAGCTCTGGCTTTCCAGCTGAAACTTTTAATTCTTACATTCTTTTTTCTTTAACTACTGAGGCCACAATGGCCACTGATCTGAGAGCCTAGCACATCTTGGAGCACACCAGAATTTACTGTTTAAAACAAAACAAAACAAAACAAACTAAAAAATTTAAAAAAAAAAAAAAGGGTTGAAATCTGAAAAAAAAAAAAAAAAAAAAAAACCAAAAAAAAAACCAACTAAAAAACCCTGTAATCAAGAGACAATGGCTCTCTTGTTCAGTGGCCTGAGTTCAATACCACAAGCCTGCTCTGCAGCCCTGGACAGGGTAATTATGCTTTGCAGACTTGGGAAAACAACCTCTGCTTGCTTCTTCAGGCTGCTGTGGGGATAAATATACTACAAAATATCAGAAAGGATAATGAGGCCATGAGAGTCTCAGCTAGATACATAAAGGTTGAGCTGTCACTAAAGAGATAGCATACTTTTGATCCTCATAGACTTGTTCTGCTTCTGGAGAGTGGTTTTAAAATAATTCAGAGAAATGCGAAGTGCACACGCAACCATCCCTGAGTTCTTACCTATATATGCAATAGTTAGAGGTTGCTGAAGGCCTTCTTGTTCTTTCTTTATAGAGAGTTCCTTGCTTTCTGGAAAAAAACCCTAGATTGATCTCTATTTTCTTTTCCCATGATGCCCTGCCTCTGACTTCATGACCTTTTACTGTAAGTATATTATTTTTTTGTTACTGTATGGCAGGATGAGTTTTCCTCAGAAATTATATAAAATTAGCTATGGTATCATAAAGATCACTGAACCTATTTTCCTTAGGGAAATAAATCCAAGATTTATTTCCCTAAGGACCCTACCCCAGTGAAATCTCTATGACCTGCAGCAGACAGCACTGAACAAGGGGGATTTAAATCTGAACTAGTGAAAATTTAAAACCTTGAAAGGTTACTTGATGTGGGGATTTTGGTTTCATTTAGTGCAGATTCACTCAACTCTTGAGCAGAAGTTTAAATTTATCTTTATGTGAATGAATCCATATCATAAAATTGCTAATGTATGCGATATCTTTGAGAGAAGAGCTAAAAATGGTAAAGTTATAGTGATAGCAATTCTGACAAGGATTTGTTATAAAATGCATTTAAAGAATCTGACTCTCATCATTTTAATACCAATTTCCATAAAGAAAACATAGTGTAAATAATGGGGGACTTTAATATAGATAATCCCAGTTTGAACTGTTAGGAAAGAGCAATAATAATCTTACCTGCCATCCTAAGTCTCGGAAACTCACATAAAGTTCATGTTTCTTGCATGCTTGCTTTTGCTCACTTGTGTTATAATCTACAGGAAGTAAATAACATTAATAAATTATTTCGAAGCATTGCTAGAACTGACAAGCTTTAGCTATTTTTGAGATCGTTACCAAGCTGTAAAAAGGAAAGGAAAACCATACTGTCATTGATATTCCTTGGGTTAGTTGTAAAGGCAATGTAAACCTGGAAATAGCACAGTCAGACTGATACAATTTCTGTACACTGGCAAAAGAATGCATGCAGTAGTAGGGGAAACAGGTATACAAGATGTCTATTTGCTGGCCAACTGAGTATCTCTGATAATATCCACACAGGTAATCAAAGATGACATGTGAGAGCCTGATCCAAAATATCAGAGAAATCATCTGTAGGTTGGCATGGTTTTAATTGCCAAGTAAAGAAAATAGCCCAGTTCAAAAGATGAATTAACAGCAATAAAAATATCCTGAAACAAGGAAATTTTGAGCAGTGTCTTCATTAAACACATAGTGGCACATATGATACTTCTTAATTTTTACCATATATTCTGGAAATATTCACCACTTGGTGATCTTTAGTTGCTAATACTGATGCAAACAAGTAGACTAACAGGTGCATTTTAAAGGACTGAAAGTTCTCTCTCAGATATGTGTCAGGATAGAAGGACACCCAGAACCTTCCATATATCCTTTTCCATGGCAACCTTACTCCTGGAGAAATTCTAGTAGTTGTTACCTACCACTGCTAAGTAGCAGGAAAGGAAGGGATCAGGGTCACACCTTCATCACATTAGCCCCCAAAGCTGGTTTGTACAGCTATTCATGAGATGCCATAAGTGAGGCATGTGACAGAGCAGGGAGTGCTGGCTGTCTCCTCTGTTTCCAATTCAAGAATGTTTAAGGTGACTTTTTTGAAGCAAAATAACCAAAAATTCACCAAAAAAAAAAAAATTCACAACAAAAACAAGAAGAAAAAGCAAACAAATAAAAGTTCACAAAACACTGAAAATGAAGATATGGAAAAATAAAACAAATCTTTCCATTTCAGAAAAAGAATTTTTAGATTTTTTTTAACATTATAAGACTTTTGACATTATAAAACTTGAGACAGAAATAGGAAGTCTCTGAAAATTTCAAGATAATTAAGATTCAGAGAGAAACTCCTTTTTCACATAAAATGAAAGGAACTTTCACAGTCTCTGGACTAATCTGTGTACTTCTTCACCATCCTTGCTGTAAACTCTTCCAAACAGATAGCCTAGAGGAGTTTGTCTGCAAAAAAAAAACCTAGAGGAGTTTTTCTTGTCAGCTATCCTGACCTCTGCTACCATGGGTAGCTTCTCTAAGTTCATTCCAGCTATCTGTGTGTTTCCAAAGATGTGATGGCCACAACCAAACACAGTATAAAATAAAGTAAACTAGTTATTTCAAGTTTGTTTTCTAATAGTATTGCACAGAATAGGAGTTTTGCAGTAAAACCACACTGCCAAGTAATCAGCTTCCAAACTTTTTTTTTTTTAATATATTCCTGCCTTGTCAGCCTCAGAAGACTGTTGTAGTTATACAAATTGATTAACAAAGAACAGACTGGGGATGAGGAGGTTGATGACAACTGCAGCATGATGGGGCTGCAGCAACCATGGTAGAGTTAAGGTTCTGAGGGATAACATCAACAACAGCATTGCAACCTGTTGCAAGTCAAGAAAATATGGCACAAATCCACCGTGGTTGTCTAGGAGATTCTTGACTGAATTCAAATTCAAATAGGAAACAAAAGTAATGTGTAATTGGGATGATCCACACAGAAATAATATAAAAATGTTGCCTGGGAAAACATAAGAAAAATATAGCTTTGTTGTTCAGTAGAGCAAAGGACCTAGTGGCAAGGACTCAGAACAGGTTAATGTAGCCAGTGACTTCTTTGTCATGTTTTTTACTGGCAAGATTTACCCTCAGGACTCCCAAGTCCCTGACCCTAGTAGCTGAGGCTCTACCCACAGTAAAAGATAAAGAGTTAGGAGTCAGTCAAGCAGCTTGAAGTTACATGAGTCCATATGAGCAGAAAGGATGAATTTCAGGGTGGGGAATGAGCTGACCAACACTGCAAAGTCACTTCCTGCCATTTTTGAGCATTCATACACCAAAAGACATTTCCAATGATTCAAAATGGAAAACGTCACACCCAGCAAGGCCAATCAGCTTAACCTCAGTTTCTGGGAAGTCTTTGGAATAAATTCTCATGGAAACTGTCCAGGCACACAAAGAACAAAGAAGGTGTTTTGGGAAGAGCAAGCATGAATTCACTAGTTCAAACTGTGACTAACCAACCTGACTGTTTTCTGTGATGATCTGACTAGCTTTGTGGGCTTTTGAAGAGCTCTGGGTGTTGATCCCTTTACTTTCAGGAAGGTTTTGGATATGGTCTCCCATAATATTCCTTCAGTCAAATTGGTCAAAGCAATCAATAACTTTGATAGGTTAGAGTACTTTGATAGTTAAGAATACAATGGATGGAAACTTGTCTAGGCTGCTGGGCCCAAACAGTTGGTATCAGTGGTACAGAGTCACCTGGCAGGTGGTTACTAGGGAGGTCCCTAAAGGATCAGTACTAGTATCAGCATCCTTTTTAGTAGGTTGGACAGTAGAACAGAAAGTGTTTCCTGGAAGTTCACAGAGGATATGAGATCTGGGATGAGTGCTCCATCATCCAAATTACCAATAAAAGGTTGGATTGAACCAGATCCAGAAGAGACTCAACAAGACACCATTCAAAATACACAGACAAGTTTTTCTCTTACCGGTAACATGCTCTTTGAATAGGCTTTTTCTTTATTTTTTAAACAGGCTGTGTACCTACTTTCTATTGAATACACATGGGCCCAATATGACTCCCATAACGGTGTCAAAAGCTGTCCACAAGTCACATATATGTCCATTTGCAATACTAAATAAGCATCAGGGTTGTTAAGCTAGGCTTTGTAAGCTATAACACCTCAAATCCTCATGGTTTTTAAAGATAAACACTGTGTTCTTTCCTATGCTATTTTCCTAGCCCTTCAATGACAGTCATTAAAGGATCTCCACACACAGCTGGTTATGCGCTGCCATCTCAGATACTTTCAGTTGTCCCAGGGCATGCAGAGTCAAAACATACACCCACATCCCATGGGATATCTATGTCTTTTTGGAGTAGCAACTGGAAGCAAGGCAGATATCACAATTTTCCAAAAATCCATATGCCTTTAATACAACCAAAATCCCTGAGCTATACCTTGTGCTGAGTTGTATGTAATAATCTAAGGGGTTTTGCACACACTCTAGAAGTACAGTGAAGGTAGTTGAAGATAAAGGAACTTAAAAAAATGGAGCTGTGTTCACTGATCACTCTTCACACAGACCTATATATTCATTTTCACTAACATCGGTGCTCATAGGAGGTGAATATTGAGCTTTTCTGTCCCAGCTATTAGAGAGAATCTAAAACTCATACATATAGAATGCAAGTCACTTTGCAAAAAAAAACTGTGACTGAAAAATGTGGAAAATATGCACATGAGAAGGTCAGGAAATCCATAATATGGTTTTTAATAGCACACAGACAGGCAAACAAAGGAAAGCTGAAGATTGTGGTTTTGCCAGCTTCCTCTGCAGTGACACTTTCGTATTCATGAAAATGTTCAGAAGTTTTAGGGCCACGATGTAGCAGAACATCCCACAGTTAAAGGCGAAAATCTGAATAATACATATGTAAGTCATTGCACAGATGTCATCATTGTTGTGATACTCTGAGCCATTTGAATATGGTTCAAATGATGTGTGGTCACACCAGAACACCTGATAAAATAGCCAGCATGTACAGACTGTAAGCCATCTAACCCATTCACCTATGAAGAAAGTGAGACTCAGGAAAGTCTGAATCCTTCCCTGAATTCTACCTTTCATGTAGGACAAATGTTCAGTGTAATATAATACTTCATGTAAGTATCAAATGTGACATTTATAATAAGATCTGGTGCTAAGGATTCAATTTCACACACTGTAGCTTCAAAGCCCATATGCTTATTCTGTCAAGAATCAAAACCATAGGCTATTGTGATTGAGAAAACATTGTTCCTCAGTGGAATCTAAACTCCTACATAGCAGAAAGAGCTGTGGAAGGAGATCACTAAAATATATGTATAAGAAATTTAATGAGGTTTTTTTTCCAGGGGAAATAAAGACATAAAAACATGCTTATACATACTATTACAAATACTATCTTTTGAATCAGTTCATGCAACACCAATCAATAGTATACACAAAATGTTGCCTTAAGTATTGTTTTTTGGTTTTATCTCCATATGAACAAAAATTATGTAGCTTTGTTTTTTAGTTTCCATTCAGTATTTAAATGTGGCTATTCTTTAGGGCCTAGTTACACAATAACTCTTTTTAGACAGTGCTAAAAAAATTAAAATTTAGCCAGCTTTTTTTTTTTTTTAGGGGAGTTATGTGACATAATTTGTAAACAACCTGCCTGGTTTTGGTATGTTTGAGGATTTTAATTTTTTTTCTTCTATCTATAGTTTGACAAAAATAAAACTTGGTAAATAAAAAAAGAGTTTAATCCTCTGTGCATAGCAGGCAGGTAGAGCCTGAATGCTAAGCTTAATTCTGTCTTTACACTGAATTGTAATTGACATTATCTCCTTTTGAAGTTCTTAGCAACACAGGGATGGTGACCCCAAGTCTGTCAACAATTTCCCAGGTGTTACAATAATCCATACATAAGATTTTATTCTCTTATACTGAGATTGTATATATGAAAGAATCACAGAATGTTAGTTGGAAGTGACCTTAAAGATCACATGCTTCCAACTCCCCTACGAGGGACAGGGACTCCCCTCATTTTCCACTAGACCAGGTCTCTTCCAACATAAACCATTCTATGATTTCGTGAAACTTCAAGAATAATTTAAAAAATCTCTTGTCCTTTGGAAGGGAAAAGCTGGGTTATCCGGTGGAGCTTTCCTTTTTGACATGCTGAGAACATGATAAAGCTAATTGCTGAAATCCAAGAACTTAAAAAGGAAAAAATAAGAAGGCAAAATACAAAATGCAAGAGGCAAAAGAAAGATGAAAAAAGGCTAGAGCAAGGGGAAAGAGGAGAAAACAAAAGAGAAAGCAAAAAGAAAAGGGGGAAAAAAGGAAGAGAAAATGAAGAAGAAAGAAGCAAGGAGGAAGTGAAGACATGATTGTGGTAAAGTTGAGGCTGATATATAGAGAAAGAAATATTAGAAGTCTGTCCTATATGAATGCCAATGTACCTATCTGGGTCTGGCTACATTACCTCTAGCCATGTAAGTGAGCATTTTTCACTGTCAGTGTCTGTCTTACTTCCTATAGATACAAGATAATGGAAGAAGCTTAGAAACAAAAGACCTACATCACAAAATTATCTTTGCTGGTCACTGTGTCAAGGGTCTTGCATCAAGGAGTGAATGAGAAATGAATATAGTCTATTGACTATCTTCCATGAGAAAGATGAGGGGCAAAATTCTTTTGGTTTTTTGTGTTTGAATATGAAAACACGAATTTTACTTTTGAAGTTCTGCTCATTACTGAAGCTGTAGAGAACTTGGACTATTAGCCTTCTCCACAAACCCAAACAGATTCAGTATATCCCCCAGATCCTGGGGCTGGAAAAGAGAAGAAAAAGAGCATAGCTTTTCTCTGATAGCAGGCTCTCCATATAGAGGGACTATATTCTGAAAAGAGTCAGAGATCAGAGAAATAAGAACATATTCTCTTCTCCATGTCTTTTTCGTGCACTCTGGACAGAATCCATACTTTGCCGTTGTAGCCTTCAGCATGCTCATCCACAGTATTTCATGAGTATTGTTGCAGTAGTTATTAAAAGAATTCTGGATCACCCATGGTGGGAAAAGTCCAGTGAGCAATCATTAATGACACCCAAACAAGTTTGTTTATTTGTGACATGGGGATTGTTGAGTCAAACTGCAAGGCAAGAGCATGGAATGTGGTTTGCTATACCTTCAAGCAGTTTTGCCACAGATGTTGCTGTGTGGTCACACATCTACCCTTCAACTTTGCCATATTTTCCAGCCTGCCTATATCTTACTACCTCCCTCTCCAAGCAATGGCCAATGCCTCTGATTTGGTGCAATTGCTTCTTAATCTGATCCTCTTTTAACAGTATGGTTTTCTTGAACTGCAATCCCTTCTGAAAGAGATCTGCCATGGATCAACATATGTAGTGATGTACTCTATGCTTATGTAGACCTTAAAAAGATTAGGAGAACATTTGTTTCATAATGGAAATTTCACTAGAGATGTTCTGATTTTTCTTCTTTTACAACAGGTCTGGAGCACAACTGGATGCACAGACAAAGTTGAAAAGCATTTTGAGATTTACAGATAGCTCTTGCTGAGGTAATTCTTATGTCAGTGCAATGTGATAAGGTTGTGTTTTTCCCAGGTTAAAGCAGCAAGGAGCTTGTGTTTGGCTTTCCTGCTACAATCAATGAGGCTTAAGAAATCTGTTCAATTCTCACTTTTTCATGCACTAGATACAGACGATTCAATCTGAAAATATAAATGATATTTATATTTAGGTATCTTGTGTGTACCATGTACTTAGGTGATTATCCCTTCATCCAAAATAATGTGATTCTCAAAATTGGCAGACTTTCTAGAGAATATGAAAAATCATTTAAATAATTTCTTTGATTTTTTTTAGCAACTCAGCAGTAATTTTTGGGTCGTTATGGTAAAAATTTCCTTCTTCAAATGATCTAAGAAAGGCTTTTTCATTGCATTAGAGTAGTCTTAGCCTGCCTCTGTCAAGGTTCTGAGACAGATATAAGTAATGTATATTGCTTATAATACTTCTCCTCAAATAGGTGAGCCCCACCCCAAGGCTAAATTCCTTCCACAAAATATTGATTTGCTTACTTTTATACTTCCATGGGATTTAAGAAAAACACTAATATTAAGATTTTGATATGGTGTTATTAAATCTGCCATGTTTCTAGAAAGAAACTCTTTCACACCCTTTTCCCAAAAAATAGAAATGTTTATTCAGAAGTGAGAGTATTGAGAAAGTGACTTTGTGCCTTCAGCTGAAAGGATTGTTTCAGGAAAACTGAAGCAAAATTTATTCTAGGACCTAAAGCAATTTAGAATATTTTCTTATGCATTATTGTCAGTACCTTTCAGGTAAGGGACCAAATTCACTCCACAGAGGGATATATTTTATATTTTATATTACTTGTCAGCCAGTCTGAACTCCTAAACAGTTTATGATTTTTCAGGTTTCCTCATTTCCAGTATTGAGATTTTTGTGTTACATCTTGCCTTCTTCAGCTGAGAGGCAGTTTTGCTGAAGCTTCCTCGACACGTAGTAGGGGTGCAATCCTTTTCTTTATCTCTATTTTTTACTTATGTATAGCAAAGATATCATCCAGTTGCATACTGTGTAGGCCTAGTTTCAAGCTCAGACACAGACTTTCTCAAATTGCTTGGTCATTTCACTCTCCTGGGGTCCAAGATACATGTAATTGATCTGACTTACAGAAGCTAGATCACACCCAGGGCCAACATAATGAAAGAGGAGTGGGAACACTGTTTCTGACAGTTCAGCCAGTGAGCAGCATCTTTTTGAGCTGTTGTGACTGCATTGCATTTCAGCAGGTGCCCATATCTCCTATAAAAAGACTGCAAATCATAGCTTCATCTTACCTCCAGCATTTGGCATCCTAGAGGACTCCTGTTGACTGCTGGACTTGTTGCGGTTCTGATTTTTCCTTTTATTGTTGGCTGCTCGGACAGAACGGAAAAGCACTTCACTTGCCTTGAAGAATGCAACCATGAATGGTTGCTTTGACTGAGGCCCGTGTCTTCCAATCAGGCCAGCAGATTTAACATTGATACTTCGACCTAAAAGCAATGGAAATTGCAAGTTAAAAGGTGAACTTCTGCCCCTCCCAAAGCCATAGCAGGAGTTCAACTGCTGACTGAATCATAGCCAGGAATTTGCTGCAATCCTGAATTTATATGATTAGGAATCAATCCACATTTTGTTGAACAGAACTTAAAAGGACAAAAAAGCTAAATAATTTTCAAAAGTTTCAACAGCTTTACAGATACAATTTTTATTTAATAAAATTGCAGTCTCTGTGTGCGATATATCTTATTCATTACTGAGGTGTTTTAATTCATTCTTAGGCATACATCTATAGAACCAAAAAATAAATTAGCCCCATTGAAGTCTGTTTTCTATAGAAAGGATAATGTAATGAGGTCTTCTAATTTTGCATCATTTCAGTGGGACGTGGAATTTTATATCCCCCAAGCAAACCAGTAGCAAATAGAAGTGTAGATAATAAATATAATTCTGCTTTAAAAATAAATATTGTGCAGTGTTACTCAAACTGATGTTCATTCACCAGTAAAGGTAGGAAGCCATTCAGTTGTTCAAGAGAAGAGAGTTTGAAATACGTGTATTATTGACTCTGGTTGTGTTCCCAGGGGATGTGCGTATTACTTTAAAACATTTGTTCAGTCAGGACTGTGTGGTAACCTCACTATATTATGTGGTCTAAACCTCACTGAAAGAAAGGAAAGCAAAACAAGTCACTGAAACTGCATCAGTGACATTTTAGCAAATAAACCCTCACTCTTAACAGAATTTATTTTGGCAGCATAAACACTTTTGTGCGTACGTGTATTATGCAGAGCCCTTCAACCGTCAGAAAATGAGACAGTGTCATGTGAAGCTGTGCAGCTGTGCAGGGTGGGGACACAGAACTCCTTAGAGCTCCTTTAAACGGGAGGGTACGCGCACTGGCACCGCGCGCCGGGCGGCACCGGGGCGCCTCGCCGTTCTTCTAAACCCGCTGGAAAGTTTGTTACGTGGGCAACAAAGAGCATCTGCCTCACAAATGTATAATGCTGTTAACTCAACCACCCCGAAAAAGAACTTGAAAACAAGCATAGGAGTAAACATTATAGAAATAAGTATATAGGTTTCCTTTTCAAACACAAACTCACAGTGGCTGCACGCCAGAGTCTATATTTCTTAAAAAAACTCTATCACTGGCGTAAATGAAAGAGGCAGTTTGATTTGTGGTTAAAGTAGTTTCCATTCTACTTCCACTGTAACAAATGTATTAATTCAGCTCAGACTTCCTCCTTCTGGCAGCCCTTTTGCAGTAAAAAGAGAAATTAGAAGTTCCAGCCAAATACCATACCTTGAACTGACCCACTTCAATACATAAACACTTTTACAACATGTTTATTCAGGTGTAGCACTTTAAATTGGTTTAAGATGTTTCCAGTGACAGAGAGCCCAGCAAAGGCAAAAGAAGAACTGAGAAAGTTAGCAGTTATGGAGCAGAGTAATTGGCAACATATTCTGAACAATTTTGATAATTACTTTTTTGACTGCAATGGAAAAATATATTTGTTGAAGCTTCTGATTTCATTTTAAATGCTTTTTTAGTCTTGTGTTTCTTTAATTCTTCTTTTCATGTGTTTGAGTTACTATTAAATAATTCAGTAACATTAATTTCTATATGTTCCAATCTTCTGTTGCAAGTCAGATATGAAAAACTGTACACGCTATTCTCTATTCATAACAACATGGACAAGCTAGCTTCTCACCACAAAGTTCCACATTTCCCTTCATTTCTAGAGGGAATATTTTTACTATTTTTCTTTACTTTTCATTCCAATGACTTTCAGAATTTTAATTTTATCTGTAAAATATTAATGCTTTACTGGTGGACATATTGAGAATACTATTAAATTTATGTATTGAGAACTGTAAAGGTGTGTGAAGCTTTTCTGAATTTAAATTTAGGTTCCCTGAATTTACAATGGTGGATATTGTGTGCGAAGGAAAATATCCTTCAAACCAATGTGAACTCCCTTTAAAATAACTTTTAATATTATTAAGTTTCCTCTGGGTTTCCTTTAGACTTCAGCAATGAGATGGCTATTAAGATTCCACAAGTTAAGGCTTACTTGGTTATCCAGGGTATAGAGATATACTATAAAAAATTAATCCTGTAACCCACAGCCTTTTTACACTGAGAAACAGCTTATGTGACTATATTCCTTTATGTGCTTGATCTAAGCAGCATAAGATTTTAGAACTCATTTGTTCAATTCATGAATGGCATATGCACTGGATCTTGCACAGAGGAAAACTTTTATTGACTTCTGTGGGTACATTATTAAATTTTTCTCTCTCAGTTTATCATATACTTTAGCTTAACTGCAACTTTCAGAAGATGAAGCAATCAAAATATACACTGCCCTTGAGATGCTATATTTCTTCTGAGGAGGATCTCTGAACTGTTTGGTTTGGAAATTCAAACTACATATGTTGTCTCCATTTTAGGTTACTTCTTTTCAAAAGAAATTTTGCATTTACAGAACTTTTATATTATCCTTTATTTTAAAAAAGGGATGAAAAAAATTTAAAAATTGTATATATGGGGGATATTTGCCTTCAGTATAAAAAGCATTGTCCCTTCTTAAACAGGAGGTATTACAAAGCATTCTGCCTCTGAAAAGTATCAAGCTTTCTGCCACAGCAGTAGCTCCATTGTGCGTGCCATGGTCTTATTAGGTAGTCCTTATTTTTGTTTGTGGTGTCAATTTCAACATACATTTAAAAAAATATTTGCTCTATCCTGAATTTCCCCTTGTAGCATTCATTTTTGTAAGTGGTTTTAATCTATCGTTTCTTGTAAACATTTTGAAAATTCTTGGCTTCAATGGCAACTGGAAATCCAGGTCTCTGGGGCATGCAGTTGTTCCATACTGTGGCATTAAAGCAATACTTTCTAAAGTCGGCTGAATGACTCAGGCTGACCTGCTTAACTACACTCAGAGCTTCAGCCAGATGAAACTCGTAAAACCAAAACAGCAAGGTTTGTCTTTCTGCTTCTCTTGAGCATCTCTGAACAACGTTGTCAAGCATTCCAAAAAATGGGCTGCATTCTGCCCTTCCATCAAATCTTTAATTCTGACGATTTCAAAGATTTTTTTTAGATTTCAGATGAAAAGAAGAAAGTGCAAGTAACCAGCAGTCTGCTAGTGCCTGATCCCCTGAACTTAGCCACTGCAATTGCCCCGGCACCTAGGAAAAACCCTAAAAACACAAGAGATGGATTTACTCTATGTAGTGATAGTCCAGAGCCCTTGTATTCTTCACATTCTGGCATGCACTTCTCAATACTGCTCTGACTATTAATTATCTCCCCTACATACTGGCAGGTATATTTGGAGACTAAGACTTATTTAAAGCATTATGTTTCAAATTCGCTGAACTGCTTAGTCCTTATTCATAGGATTCTGAGTCTTTGGCAAGATGTATTTGTTTGACTTGGCATTTAAACTTCTTTTTGGCTTTTATACTATTTGATAGTAAAGTGCCCTTAGCAGTTTGCATAAAAGCTTGCATGGAAGTTTGGGTTTGACTGACTGAACTGAATGAATATTATTTGCCTTTTCACATTCTCTCCCCTAATAATAAAGGAATCGCTGCTGCAAAAATAACTGTGAAGTTCAGCTTACAAAAAAGGTCCTGTCAACAATCCCGATGATTTTGTGTTTTTTGGTTTTTTCAGCCACAAAACAGGAATTGCACTCAGGTTGATAACTCAGAGCTATTTGCTGTGTCACTTTGTCTGCTTCAGTTCTGTCACATGCAGTCATATTATACAATTCTTTGTGTGAACTGATCAAGTTCCATCTTAAAAGTTCATTTCCCCTCCAGCTGCTCCAAATGGAAATGCAAGAGCCCTTCAAGCTTTCAATAATAATCTGTCTTGCAGTCTTGACCTGGAGACACATCCTTGTGTTTCATAACATTCAGAAAGCAGACTTTTTCTGAGACTGCCAGTGTGGATGCCAATGACAGTAAGATCTGTACCTTGGCTTTATATCCTCAGACTGTATATATTTTAAGTAAAATATTGATCAGACACTTATCTTGCAAGAGCTTTCAGTCATTATGCATCCTAGCCAGATTTACACTGGCAACACAGCACAGTGAGCAATTCCAAAATCCATTATTTTGTCCTGAGTCATCGGCCGGCACCAAACCACTAATTTTGTTATGAAAAACAAGAACTTATTTACTTTCAAAAGTGTTCAAGAAGTCACAAAACACATTTTATAGATTAACCACTACTGCTAGGTCACAGTAGTTATTTTGGTAATAATTTTATGTATTTGTACTTAGAAATGAAAAATTTAGTGATTCTGAGAATTAATTTCAACGCAATTTGCTGACAAAAATTTCATGTTCCAATGCCACACCTAGGATTTCCTTCTTTTGGGGAGTGACATCTGAAATGAGAAAAGGCCTTTTGAAGAAAGATCCTGAGCATCCAGGGTCCAATAACATTTAATATTTGAGCAAAAAACTGCCCATAGGCTCTGACTATGAAAGCTGACACACAGTAGTTTTCAAAATTGGAGAGAAACTTTCATGGTTTTTCATGCCCAAACACCACTCTCGAGAGCAATGGGACTTGAAACAAGAATTGAGATGGAGTTTGGCTACTTAAGCTTATTTTTAAAAAATACATGAGGAATGCTAATAACACCAATGTGATGGTATATATATAACACATCCTCAACACTCCAACTCTAAAGTATTTTTTACTGTCTCTATTGTATTATCTATATAAACTGTTGCTCAAACTTTTCCTTTGGTGGACACATTTATCTATAACAACATAAAATATGCTTTTGACACATGCTTTATGTGTTTTATTAACTCTTCTTCTCCCTCGAGGCTTTAAGGAATTCTGAAAAATGGGTGGTCTTGGATGCTCTGCTCTGCTTTTCCTAGGCTTCACAGCTTTAGTCAAGACTAGATTCATCTTTTCTTTCTCAAATCTTACATTTAGTTGTTTTTA